CTGCAGCCCCATAGAGCCGGGTCTCTATGGCCAACCCCAGCAGCTGTGGGCTGGGTGAGCCGAGAGGGACCTACCGGGGTGGGGGGGTCTGGGACAGGGAGGGGCCAGCGGGGCCGGTCTCATCCCCCTCTTGTCTCTCCAGCATGTCGATGGGTGCAGAGGCGGCAGAGGCCAAACACAGATTTCCAATCAAACGTGTGTACTTGGCTCCTGCTCTATTGACACTGAAGCAAGAAGGGCTCAAGGTTAATTCCTTATCAATACCCTATTGTCAGCTCATTCATCACCCACGGAGGGCAGGGCTGCCCAAGCTCTCCCTCCTCCAGCCCCCATGGCTTTGGGAGGATGACCGAAGGATGCCGTGAATCCCTCTACCCTCCTCAGCCCTGCCCGGGTGGCTCATCTTTGGCTGGTGGTGCTGGGATGGGTACACAGCCATGTGAGGATGTGGAGAGGAGGGGATGGCGGCTTAAGGTCAAAGGAAAGGGGATAGGGAAGATGCCAGGACAGGCAGAGCGAGCAGCTGCCGTGTGAGCTGCTGCCTCCCTTGCCCATGTGCCAGGCTGGATCATAGAACGGTTTGGGTTGGAAGGGACCTTAAAAACCATCCAGTTCTAATCCCCCTGTCGCAGGTAGGGACACCTTCCTCTAGATCAGGCTGCTCAAAGCCTCATCCAGCCTAGCCTTGGACAGCTCAAGGGATGGGGCATCCACAGCTTCTCTGGGCAACCTGTTCCAGTGTTTCACCACCCTCATTGTAAAAAATTTCTTCCTTAGATCTGATCTAAATCTCCCCTCTTTCAGTTTAAAGCCATTGCCCCTTATTCCTATCATGGATACCCATGTCCTATGCTGGATGCAGGATCTGTGTGTAGGATGTGCTGGGCGATGCGGGGGGGGGGGGGGCAGGTCAGATAGTGGCTGCGGCCCCCATTTGTGCTACCCTGTTTCCTGTGTCCTGTTTCCCAAGCCCCCAACCCTGTGTGCTGCCAGTCTTTCCAGAGAGCAGCACTAAGCTCAGCTCGCCCCCCCAGGGCTGGGAGGCTACAGGGAACCCAGGGGACCTCCACTGTCCCGATTTGTGGGGTTTCCAGAAGTTGAACCATGGTCTGTCAAACCACAACATTGCACAGGTTCTCTTGAAAAACAGACAGCCCTCTCTGGGTGATGGAGAAGGAAGTGGTGTGACCTGGCCTGCCAACGCAGGAAGGGCAGTAAAGCTACTCCTGCCATTAGACTTAACGGTTTTAAAGTTCAGTTAAAGCTGA